AGTTTCCTCCAATTAAATACATTAAGAGGACAAAAAGTCTCACTCCTTGCCAATGTGCCGAGGAAGCTACCCAACTCTTTTACAACCTCTTTAGTAGGACCAACGGGTTGATTATACTCATTTAGAATGATTATTTTACGCTCCTTTCTACCATGAACCCTTGGCATTTGAGTACGGCCTCTTTTTCTTTTTGGCGAGGAGGGGCCTGCAATAGTACAAAACAAAGATAATGATTGTTCATGTACTCCTTGTGTTGCTGAAGAGGTGCAATTCTGTGGCACTTGCTGCACTTGTTCTTGCAATTGAGATCCACCTTCGGATTGTCGTTCTTCATTTGCATTTGACCTTAGAGCTTTCAAGGTTGTTTTTGTTGTCAACAACGAAACCTTTTGGTTTCGCAAAGATGAAGGTAATCCACCTTCTGATTGTCGTTCTTCATTTGCAGTTGACCTTGTAGCTTGGAAGGTTCTTTTTGTTGTCAACGACGAAACCCTTTGATTTCGCAAAGATGCAAGTGATCCAGCTGGAATGCGGTTGGATATTTTCTTATTTTTGCTTGAGCACCCTTCTTGATTCATGAATATTTTTCAGATTCTGAAAAGCAAACACAATATAGGTTAGCAAAAACAGCAAACATAGTATATCATTTCTAACTAAAATCTGCTCGAAGAATATATATTTCAGGTGAATAAAACAGATAGATCTAATCATACGACCTTAACTTCAAGCACAAAGATTCAAAGTACTGTAAGCCTCAATTACAACTTTCCATTCAAGAATTACCTAGAAATTTGAGCTGCAACTGAGGCACAATAAATCAACACTAAATTTCAATCCAAAGAAATGAAAGAAATGCTGAAGTGAGGTGATGTCCCTGCTACTATAGCTTTGGCGAGGATTTACAAGGCTGTGAATTCAGCTTTGCAAACTAATAGTAAGATGAATGGGTGCGGAGATCAAGCTAATACACTCAGCAAGTCAGTAGGGGTGCAACAACAGATTGAATCTACTGAGCAGGCTGGTCTTCAGCAAGAAAAAGCAGAAGAATCTGGGGCTTTGAATATCGGGCAAGTCATTCCTAAGACCACTGGAGTGTTGGATATGAAAGCTGGCCAAGTTACTACTGATACGCACAAAGAACCAGGCTCACAGGTTGTTAAACACCCAACAGATCAAGCTTGGGCAGTGGTAAATAAATCACCAACCAAAAATAATTCTACAGGTCTTAAAATCAGATTTTAGCAATCCGAAAACACGACTATTTTTTGTATAAACCTTTTACTTATATCCAAAAAGCGAAGAGATCTATAAGTTGTATCCCACCAACTACTAAGTGACCTAAAATCTGCAGTCAGTACTTCAACACACAAATGTCACAAGGTTTAGAACTTTCTGTTGGTGGGGATAATGGTAGTATCTGGGCCAACTTGCGCATCTTTACGATTTAGAACTTAAAAGTATTATACTGAATCCAGAGCTATGTCTTAAAATTCCTTCCCAGTAGGTATCTTTTGAGCAGACAACCACATAAGAAACATAAAGACTAGTCAGAAAATGCCAGGTAGGAGCTATAAAAGAATTGGTTGAAGAAGGATGAAATAATAACAAGCAGACCACTTCTCCATCTCTCAGATTTACAAACACAAGCAGATATACAAACAGTACATAGACAAGGAAAGCAAATTCCCATGTGAGTTACCTTGAAGAATACAAAGTAAGGAACAACAGAAATAGAGTACAACTCAGATATCTCGGGCTGTTCTTTAGCTTCAACCTGAAATACAGAGACAGACAATCAGCTCCAAGTTCACTATGCTAGAACAAAATAACTATTTCAGTATATGCAGGGTCTCCAATTTCATTTGAAAAGAATTTCAGATTCTAAGGAAAAACTAAAAAAGACAGCTGCATTAGATGTCATTAGATGTCACCTTCTAATGCTTATAATTAACAAACCAGTGCATTAATAATCACTGGAGCCCGCATGCAACTTGAAAATTCCCTGAAGGAGAACAGAAGTTGCTCATAGCGGCTGTTATCCAGCCTTGATATACTTTTAAAACAAGTACCAAAATGAGTCCACAATACAATACCAAACCTGAAGAGTAACTTCAATAAGTTGAAATAGGTTTTATAGGAGTGAAGGTCATGAAACAAGCTCCAATACATGAGCAGTAGACAGTATCTGGCTCTCTTGCCTCTTTTTCACTTGCTCTAGAGTTTATTCTTATGGTAAAGCAACTCCTTTTGATCGTGGAGTAAGAGCTTAGGGACAAAACAGATTTTCTTCCAGGTCAAAAATTAGCAACTCCTTTTGATTGTGATGTTTTTTTCCTTTCTGCATTTCCAATTAGACTGCTTATGCATATTACAGTGGTTTGTGTCACTATTTTTACTGGATTATCTAATCAGATCATTTTGCCATGCTTATTTATCAGTTCAGTTGGCTTAACTTGTACTTTACATACAGGTGCATACACTAAGCTCTGTTATTGTCACAAGTGACACTTAGTAGACAGACCGGAGGATGAAGCATCAAGCATCTGTTAACTAACAGAATCCTAAGTTGCATTACAAGCACTAATAACTTACTAATGACATGGATTTTATAGGATGGAGTTTATCCTCAAACTTGTACCATAGGGCACAAAGTTTATTGAAGCACATTTGTGATGCGGAAAGAAACAGGATGAAAGGACAAGTGTAAATGGCTAAATTCATATGATAACAGGATCAACCAGTAACCATGGTTTCATCAATACTATTTACTCATATAATCTTATTCTCTCTACAAGCATTTTTGTTTGTTCTAGTGCACCAAAATGTTAATATGTCTGAACCACAGGCATAAAGCAAAATTCAATTCTATTTTTCTTGGGTTGATCCTAAATCTGAATTGATGTCATGTTAGACAAAGAAGCTATACTGCTGTGATGACAAGAACTGCTACTAGAAGTGGTAAGGTGCATCGTGTACGTTCAACTTATCTATCACAACAACCCAGGCAACAATGAGGAGGAAAGAAAAGGCTCCCCCCCTTGTCATTCATACATTCTTGTGAAATATTGCTATAATTTCATGGAGGATAGAAATTACCAACTAAACCAAAGAGGACGTGGGAGAAGGGACGGGCCTCAACAACCGAACAAAAGTATTCGAAATCTCTCTCAAATCCNGAAGCATGTCAGAATAATTTCTAAAGGATGTAATAAAATAATCATAAATATTGTAACAAAAAGCCATATCACTCACTCAAAAATAATTAACTTAAATAATTTCATAATTTGTTATTTAATCATCTGCTTCCATCCAGTCCCAATCAGTATCATCAAACCCATCCTCCTCCTCCAATGTTTCCACAATTGTATCATGTGAATTTTGTGCATGAGATGGAATATCAATGATATCAACTGGTACATCTTCTCTTGACCATCTAATGTCATCATCAAGCAATGTAGATGAGGAACCAATATCATTATTAGGTTCCCGCCAAAATATGTCTCCAATATTGGGACAATTCTCTTCCTCCAGATCATACAAATCAACAGGTACTTTACTCCTTGCATAATAAACATCTTTCTCAATTGGATCCTCCACATAAAAAACTTGATAAACTTGTGATGCCAACACAAAAGGGTCATCTGTACTGCATAATCTATTGAAGTACACCCGAGTTAACCCATAATCATCTATTTCATTACGAAACCAATCACATCTAAACAGTACAACACTAAAAGAACCCCAATAATCAATCTCAATAATATCCTTAATCGCTCCATAATAGATAACCTCGCCATCGATGGGATTTTGGTCCCTAGCACTAGCAAAACTATCTGTTGTTGCCGATAAAGTCACTCCACTATTTTGAGTCTTGCCTCGGGAATCCCATTCTTTAGTATGAAATCGGTATCCATTAATAAAATATCCCGTGTATCTTTTGGCTACCATATTAGGTCCTTTGGCTAGCCATCTTAAATAATCTGGCAATACAATATTTTTAACTTTTTCTTTAAACCAATTGCTGAATTCCCGACTATGATCCCTCACTCTTACCCATGCATTTGATCTACTATGATTAACAATTAAATTCTTATGTTCCCTGCAATCAAGAACATTTCCAGTTTAATCATATAATAAAGAAAAAATTATATAAAAATAAATAAATATTAATATAATTTATCTTACTCGATAAACTTTTCCATTTGTTCATCTCCAGTATTGAACAGAGCATATCGATGTGCTTCAAAGCATAACTGCGAATCCATGAGAAAAGTATTTTTTTTCTTACTTCCAATTGGATGGCCTATATTAGGGAATATAGGTGACAAATTTTGAGAGCACTCATCATCCACAGTTTGGTACCTACTAAATTTTGTCTTCACGCCATCATGTAGATATCTCGAACAAAAAGTCAAGCACTCATCGGCCAAAAACCCCTCTGCTATTGACGCTTCTGGAGTAGATCGATTACGTACAAAGGCCTTGTACTTACATAGGTTCCTCTCAATGGGATACATCCAACGAAGATGAGCCGGACCCCCAAGCTTAATTTCATCCACCAAATGAATAGGCAAATGTGACATTATGTCAAAAAATGTTGGATGAAAAATCTTTTCAAGCTCACATGTTATTTCAACAATTTCAGACTGCATTATTTCAAGATCTCTTCGCCTTATGACCTTACTACATATAGCTCTAAAGATATTTCCCAACCCAATCAAGGCCAATGAAACATTCTTGGGCAACACTTTTCTAACAGCAACCTGGAGCAAGTAATGCATTATAAAATGGGCGTCATGACTCTTGTACCCTGATATTTTCATCTCCTTCACTTGCACGCGTTCTGAAATATTCGAAACACACCTTTTTGATAATTTAGCATTTTTCATGACAGTACAAAACAAACTTTTCTGTTTTGGTTCCATGTAGAAACAAGATTTAGCCAAACTTATAGTTCCATCATTATTTATTCTTAGTTGCAGCTCCTTTCGTATCCCCATTTATTGTAAGTCATAGCGAGATTTTTCATGATCCTTTCTTTTTTCATCTATTTCTAATAAAGTCCCAAGCAAACTATCACATACGTTTTTCTCGATGTGCATCACATCAAGATTGTGCCTCAATTTGTTATGCACCCAATATGGCAATTCGAAAAAAATGGATCTCTTTTTCCACGGACCCTTATCACTCCGAGGCCTTTTTTTAGCTCTCTTTCCAAAGATATTGTTGAATTCAAGCAGCTCTTCAAACACTTCTTCACCCGACAATGGAGCAGGGGCAGGTCTATGCTCCTCCTTACCATCAAAAGACTTCTTATCTCGTCGGAATGGATGATCACGAGGCAAAAATCTTCGATGGCCCAAGTAACACATCTTATGACTATGTTTGAGATATCGAGAACATGTGTCATAATTGCAAGTGGGGCATGCCAATCTCCCCTTAGTGCTCCATCCCGAAAGCATTGCTAATGTTGGAAAGTCACTAACTGTCCACATTAAGGCAGCACGCATTCGGAAAGTTTGGTTGGTTTCAGCATCAAATGTGTCTATCCCAGTTTCCCATAGTTCCTTCAATTCTTCAATTAATGGTCGTAGGTACACATCTATATCATTTCCTGGAGATGATGGACCTTGAATGATCATAGACAACATTATATACTCTGGCTTCATGCAAATTCACGGTGATAAATTATAGTTCATTAACATAACGGGCCACGTGCTATGAGAAATGCTCATGGTCCGAAACGGGTTGAAACCATCACTTGAAAGACCCAATCTAACATTTCGAGCATCTCTAGAGAAGTCTGGGTGCAAAGAATCAAAAGGCTTCCAAGCTTCCCCATCAGCAGGATGTCTTATATTACCATCATTGGGTCGTTCATTAGCATGCCATCTCATTGCAGCAGCCGTTTCAGGACACATGAATATCCTCTGAAGCCTAGGCTTTAAAGGAAAGTACCTTAAAACCTTTGCAGGGATTTTAGAGTTTGCTTTAGTCAAAGGACCAGCACTCTTCCATCTTGAAGTCCCACAAATAGAGCAATTATCGGCATTCGCATTTTCTTTCCAAAATAACATGCAATCATTAGGACATGCATGTATTTTTTTCATAATGAAGACCCAAATTTGTTATCATGTTTCTAGCCTTGTTGAAAGATTCTGGTACCTGAGCAAAGGGAAATGCCTCTTTTATCAACTCTAACAAATCAGAGAAAGCCACATTGCTCAACCCATGCAAGGATTTAAGCAAGTACAATCGAATAGTGAAACTCAGTTTACTGAAATTTTCACACCCGGGATATAACTCTTGTTTTCCTTCCTCCAGCAATTTGAAAAACTTCTTTGCATCTTCAGATAGTCTTTCCCCAACTCCTTCTTCATCCCCTGCCTGCCCCTCTATATTTCTAAATGTATCATGAAGTAGTCCATCAATATCGTCACGCATGGTAGAACCTTCATCATCATTGCTTGGATGAGGTGTATTTCTCGAGGAAAATCCTTCCCCGTGGAAAACCCATTTGGTATAACCATCAACAAATCCATGAACAACCAAATGATCCTCCACCACATTTCTATAACACCAATAGCGATTCATGCACTTTTTGCAAGGGCATAATATTTCATTTCTTTGGGCGGCTCGTTCTAATGCCTTATCAAGAAAATCATTCATTCCACGGATATACTCATCTGTCCATCTCAAGAGATTCATCCAACTTTTATCACCATTATCCATAGATATCCTATACGATAAAAGTAAATCAACAAAACTAACCAAATAAACCAAAAGCATATTAATTTGACATTAACCGCTGCTTTTAAGGGTGGAACTCAGAAAGTCACAAACAGTAAAGCAATTTAAGGCCTTTAAAAGTTAACTTCTTAAAAATTATCTCTTATAATATTAATAGTTAAAAAATTCAAACCTTTACAAAAAAAAATAATATTACAATCATCTTCAATTTCAGAAGAATCACATATACAGGCAGTGACACTCCAGAAAGACCATTAAGAAAACAACATATACTTAGACAAAAGTATTAAATAGTGCAAACTCAGAAAAACAGAATCTTTACTCAATTAATAAATCAACCGGACAACTACAAAAACTTCACCTCAATCCTAAGCTAGTTGGGATAGGCTATATAAACCCTCATCCAAATAAATTTCAGAAAATTAACTACAATCACCTTCATTTTCAAAAGCACAAAAATAAAGAAGCAATGCCACACCAGAAAGACCTAGACAATAAGTTTCAGAAGGCTAAACTACACCCATCTTCAGTTTCAAAAGCACAAACATACACAATCAGTTGCACACTAGAAAGAAGACAAACTGAGTGAAAGCAGAAGGTTTACCTCACCAAATATCTTGCTTCTTCTTTCTTCTGAAAAAGGTGTCTACTTGAAATTAGTAACTAGATTGGTGAAAAGTAAAATCTTTACTGAAGAAACCTGAAAATAGACCTAGGAAACATTACAATAAAGCTCCTTGTACTTAATCAGATTTAACAAGCTATAGTTATTGATCTAGCACACAAGTGTTAGTTAAGTAGTAACCTGGTATTAAAGGCTACAGTACTATTTATAATTCATCATAAATCATGAAACATATCATTTCTTGAGCTTTTACCTTCTGAGTCAATAAGTGAATTTCTCTAGGAAATGCTGACTCTTTAAAAAGAAATAACACATGCATACTGACAATTTTCACTAATGCTTTTCCAAACAAGCAATATTTCAGAATTAACTCATCATATTCTGTAGTTAGAACATCGTTCGCTCTATGGACAGGTAGGTTAAGTACCATAAGGTCCTTCCCGTGTTTCAAGGCGTAACAATGTATAGACTTATTAAGGATTTATTTTTACAAAATGGTCTGAGGCAGCAATTCTCACTAATGCTTTTCCAAACAAGCAATATTTCAGAATTAACTCATCATATTCTGTAGTTAGAACATCGTTCGCTCGATGGACAGGTAGGTTAAGTGCCATAAGGTCCTTCCCATGTTTCAAGGCGTAACAATTTATAGACTTATTAAGAATTTATTTTTACAAAAAGGTCTGAGGCAGCAATTTTCACTAATGCTTTTCCAAACAAGCAATATTTCAGAATTAACTCTGACCTTTGCATGTTTGGATTTGTTAGAGCAAAAGAGAGAAGAAAAAAGGAGAGCAAACACTGTTTCACCAAAAAAATAACTGGTTTGACCCCACAAAATTAAAAAAAATAAAATAAAAATGCAAGAAAAAATTCAGATTCACAGCCCTAGAGCAATCCTACAGCAATCGATATAAATATAAATACGGGACAAGCACTTTACTTAATATGGTGTAAGACTTGATTAAACTGGTGCAATATTTGGTGTAGAAAGAAACAATGTCTAGTCCTGTCAAATTGGATTATCAAGATAGTTTCTGCATTCCTATTATGATCGAGTCACTTTAGATTCTGCGGACAACTATATTTAATACGTTATTGTCAGAATGATTCAATTAAATTCTAACATGTTGCTTAACTCGGTCCTCATCGTACTCCTGTTGGGATTTCTGGAATTCTTCAATTGAGTTCTGAACCTCTTTCACTAGTTCCTCTGTAGAAAACTACAAAGTCCAGCAAATGAATAATAATGATCAGAAAAGGTAAGTTGTACTATCAGCATGCCTAAGTAGGTAAAATGTGTAGGAGTAGAGCATAGATAAGCAGATGGTTGTTGTTATAGAACTAGAAATGCTACCTACGTGGAGGAAAGTTAATCACAAATTGAGTATAGACTTAATCAGAATGTTTTATGTAGTTCAGAATGTTGAGCATAAAACTGAAGCAAACTAGTATTTATAACAAATATTAAACAAGAAGACTACTTTCGTTGTTTTGAGTATAGAGGGAAGAACAACAACAAGAAGACTACTTTCGTTGTTTTGAGTAGTTCTTAAATATAACCTATTTTATTACCTTGCCAAAAGACAAGCAACTAGTATTTATAACAAATATCAAACAATAGCTAATGTGCAGACTATAGCAACTATATCAAATCGGAGTACAACTTAAGGCTACACCAGCCCTAGAGCAATTCGACAACCTCCATGGATAGATTGAAGAGTTAAAAAAAAGGCATCAAAATAACTTACATGGCTAAAATCACTGGTGTTGGATTTGGGGATTTGGGGAGAGCACCTATTTTGAGGAAATTTGCTCAGATGCCTCAAAATTTCGCCACCCCCTTCACGATACCAAAAATTTCGCCACACCCACTAAATCAGCAAAACTTATGTGTAAAAACCTATTAACCCAATTTCAGAGAGTGAAAGAGAGGAATACGATAGAGAGGAAGATTCAACATATTTCTTAGAGTGAACGAGAGAAGAAGATTTTTGGAGAGAGTGGCGTTTGCAATCGAAGAAGTTGTCTCTGAGGGTTCAGTGCAATCGATCGAAGAAGTCTCTGAGGGTTCAGTGCAATCGAAGAAGCTAAGTCTCTGAGCTAGGGTTCTTAATTTGGGGGTATCAGCAGCTATATTGGATGTATCGATATTTTAATGGGGAAAAGGCAAAAACAGTCTTTTCACATAATATTTTCATTATTAAAATTATTCAAAAATAAAATAAATAGGGCTTATTTTGGCGGGTAACAAAATTCAGGGGGGGAAAATAAGGAGGGAAAAAATAACCGTTCCAATAGAAATTTTTACAATAAAAGCGTTCCAGTAGATAATTTTATTGGGACGGTTTATATAGCCGTTGCGCCAGATTAATCTATGGCAACGGTTGTTTTACAATTGCAACGGTTGTATAGCTTAAGTGTTCTGATATTACCAAAATGCTATTGTAACGGTTGTAACCGTTACCATAGATGCTCTATGGCAACGGTTGTTCAACCGTTGCTAAAATAAATGTTGCCATAGGCCCTTTTCTGGTAGTGTGAAAAGAATGAAAATGATACGTTGTGTAGTAAAAAATCAAGAAACTTTCCCTTTACATGTAAAAATATTGCAATATGTTAGAAGGTGAGAATTAAAGTACAAGTAATTGAAAATTTATCTACATTTCAAATTGACCAACCATGATTGGGTTGTTATAGGGCCACGATATTTTTATGAGTTTATTGGTATATTTAGAATAACAAATTGAAGTGCAAACAATTACTTACTCTATCTTTTGACAAAATTCTGAAATGCTCGAAAAATAGTTCTGGTATTAAAAGTGTCATCAAGTCCTATAATTGTATATGGAATAATAAATTGAAGTGCAAACAATTACTCGCTCATCTTTTGACAATATTCAATAATACTGGTATAAAAAATGTCATCAAGTCCTATAATACAAATAATTTGTTAGAATAGCCGCTCTAGACACTAAATAAAGAGCAACATAGTATAATATAATCTTTTTTTGGTTGAATGGTATAATATAATCTTAGTTCCAAACAACATCAAATATTGCTATAATAGCGAGGAAAAGCAAAACAACCCACGTGCTAATCAAAACCTAAAAGGCATATGATATAGAACCTTGACGGCAAGAAACTTTTTTAAAAAGTGGTTGCTCTATCAAATTAGAAGGGGATTCCCTTTTCATTGTTGATTGTTGAAGGTTTAGACCTCTCTATAACATCATTCTTATATAATAATACTTTATTATAAAAGTAAGTTTTTCCGGAATCAAATTTCATGTTGATATTTTGTTCTCAGCTCATGAAGATAGTAGTGTTTTTTTTGCAATATAAACGTGAAATTACACCACAGAACCGCTTCACATACACAATTGTTTCTTCCCACAATGCTTGAGTCCATTACTCAAATGGTCACTCAATTATCCCAAATTATCTCCTAAAGTCACTTTACTTTCGTTTGTAACAACAAAGTCACTGAACTATGCCTATTGCACTCAGAAGGTCACTCAACTAGATTTTTCAAATTTTGGATTGCCAAATACCTAATTTACCCTCTAAATTATAGACATTTATCTTCTTTTTATTTTTTTAAACTTTTTAATATTATAATTTTTCCCTTTTAGTTTATATTTTGGACTTACCTATAAAATAAATAAATATTATTTATAAACTAAAAAAAAGTATTTAAGCATATATTATGCTGGAATAACAATATAATGAGCATAGTAAAAAAAATAATTAGAATAATTTGTTAGTAATAATAATTATAGTATTAACAACAAAAATTCAAAAATTTATTTACACAATTCAGAATGAAAGAAAATAAAGGTTGTAAAATATATATTCCATGCACGTAATATAAAAAAATTATTTAAATAAAGGTATTTTTATAATATACATTATATATTCTTTAAAATTATGCTCAATTATATTATTATGTTTCTACCAACTTTCCGACGACACAAAGTTATATCACCGGAAAGCAGGGGGCTATCTATATAGGGTAAAATATGCTATGTTAAGTCGTGCATGGAATATATATATATATAATATAATTGAGCATAATTTTCAAAAATATATAATGTATATTATAAAAATTCTTTTATTTAAATAATTATTTTTATATTACGTGCATGGAATATATATTTTACAACTTTTATTTTCTTTCATTCTGAATTGTGAGAATAATTTTTTGAATATTTGTTGTTAATACTAAAATTATTATTACTAACAAATTATTCTAATTAATTTTTTTACTATGCTCATTATTTTGTTATTTCAGCAATATATATGCTTAAATACTTTTAATTTTTAATTTATATTTAATATTTATTTATTCTATAGG